CTCTTCCTTTCCCTGGCACTCGCACATACACACATACACGCATGCACGCACACACACATACACACACCCTCCCCCTCTCAATCTCTCAGTTACGAAATTACATTCACATGGATAGAATAGGCTCAGAGTCACACTCTCACTTACTTTGTCATATATATATATATATATCCATGCACGCACATACACACACACGCACGCACATACACACACGAAAGAGGTTGTAGAGAGAGTCTCACTCGCAACATTATTTTTCTCAAACAAACAGAGATTTCACACAGAAACCACATTTCCTTCGCAATATCAGACACGATCGCTACAAACTCACTATGTCAGGATCTCGTCCACCACACATATGTATAAGTAAGTGTCTGATTGATTGAGTGGCAGATATTCTGGACAAACTAGGGGACCCGTGCGTCGACAGCGAGACTTCAAATCTGACGGTGTCGTTTTTTTCAAATTATTATTCCCAATAGTAGTAGTAGTAGTGGTCGTGGTGGTAGTAGTAGTAGTAGTAGTGGTAGTAGTAGTAGTAGTAGTGGTAGTAGTAGTAGTAGTGGTGGTAATGGTACTAGTAGTAGTAGTAGTAGTAGTGGTAGTAGTAGTAGTAGTGGTGGTAATAGTACTAGTAGTAGTAGTAGTAGTAGTGGTAGTAGTAGTAGTAGTGGTGGTAATGGTACTAGTAGTAGTAGTAGTAGTAGTGGTAGTAGTAGTAGTAGTGGTCGTGGTGGTACTAGTAGTAGTAGTAGTAGTAGTGGTAGTAGTAGTTGTAGTGGTAGTAGTAGTAGTAGTGGTAGTAGTAGTAGTAGTAGTAGTGGTCGTGGTGGTACTAGTAGTAGTAGTAGTAGTAGTGGTAGTAGTAGTAGTAGTAGTAGTGGTAGTAGTAGTAGTAGTGGTAGTAGTAGTAGTAGTAGTAGTAGTGGTAGTAGTAGTAGTAGTAGTAGTAGTAGTGGTAGTAGTAGTAGTGGTAGTAGTAGTAGTAGTAGTAGTAGTAGTAGTAGTAGTAGTAGTAGTAGTAGGAGAAGGAGGAGGAGGAGAAGCAGCAGCAGCAGCAGCAGCAGAGGTTACAGTAATAGTAGTATTGTAACAATTGTTCCATAAATATTAGTAGTGGTGGTTGTGATGGTGGTAATAGAAAAAGCAGTAGAAACATCAGTAGTTCGAGTAGTAGTAGTAGTAGTAGTAGTAGTAAAAGTAGTAGTAGTAGTAGTAGTAGTAGTAGTAGTAGTAGTAGTAGTAGTAGTAGTAGTAGTAGTAGTAGTAGTAGTAGTAGTAGTATTAGCATTAGTAGTTGTTGTTGTTGTAGTAGTAGTTGTAGTAGCAGTATTAGCAGCAGCAGCAGCAGCAGGAGCTGTAGTAGTTGTGTCAGTGGCAGCAGTAAAAGTAGTGTAGCATTTTTATAGCAGCAGTAAAATCAGCATATCTCTACGTAGTAATGGTAGCAAAAGAAGCAGCAACTGTCATATTAGTAGTCGAAGAAGAAGAAGAAGAAGAAGAAGAAGAAGAAGAAGAAGAAGAAGAAGAAGAAGAAGAAGAAGAAGAAGAAGAAGAAGAAGAAGAAGAAGAAGAAGAAGAAGAAGAAGAAGAAGAAGAAGAAGAAGAAGAAGAAGAAGATGGTATGAAGCAGCAAGAGGAGAATGGACAATAAGAAGAAATCGCCATTTCGCTCATTGCCACCGACAATCACACACACACACAAGCACACATACACACACACACAAACCCCTGCCTCCCCACACACAAACTCACCCAGCTTCAAATGTTCATAATTAAGTGTTCATAATCAAGCAGTATGCGTCCTATTTATATATATTTGTCCTTCTACAAAATCAAGTAATATCGAGACAGAAAGAAACCGTTTCTTTAAACAAGATACGTACCACTGCCTCCCAATAAACAAACCGCCTTCCTAGCAACACATTTCAAATATTGATATCGCTTCATGTATGTTCTCAACTCTTTTTAATCCACACATATGTATGGGTGTCTGATTTATTCAGTGGCAGATATTCTGGAAACACTAGGGGGCCTGAACGTCAACAGCGAGACTTCAGATCTAACCATGTTGCTGGCCAATGTGACCCGGATGTTCGGAGCGTCGCCATTTTTCAAAGTGATTGTTCATAGCACCAAAAATTTATCGGTAAGTTTAAAGAGAAAAGGTTTTGGTATCAAACTCACAATCATCATAATCGCTATCAAATACCTTGCCGAATGGCGTGGATGATCACTCTTCTTCACAATCTGCGATTTGCAAACTGTGCGTATCAGTTCGTGTCCAGACACCCATTTATGCCATTGTCAAGAATCTTCGCACTTTGTCTTTCGCTGTCTCTTTTTTCCCACAGATTTTTCAGTTGTCACAACATGTTCCAGTTTCCATCTTCTTATAGCATGATTAAGAATATGACGACTGACTTTTTCTGATGTTTGAGATAAGCTGTCGTCAAGTCTTTGCCTCTTTCAAGACATCGCGGTTACTCTTGTGGGCTGTCCAGGGAATTCTAAAGATTATTTTGTAAAACCACATCTCCGAGGCCTTAAAAAAATTGTGTGTGTGTGTGTGTGTCCAGTATTCACAGCATTATTTAACTCAAAATATGTTACTTTATTACTTCATACGTTGCATTTAATGTTTTTTATTTTTATTATTTACTTCCTAGCGCTCTTCTGTAACATGCATTAATTCTTTCCGAATTCAGCTACTTTTGTCATGTCTTCCTCTCTCTTTCTAGCCCCTAGTGGAGCATGGGCCCTAAATCAACTCAGACAAGTTGTTCTATCCTTCGCTATCGCATGCAGATCTCCCCATGTCCTCGCCATCTGTTTAACATCACCCTCTAGCTTGCTTTTCCGTGTATCTTTCAGTCTTTCTTTATGTATATGTCCCTGTGGGTTCCAATGCACAGACATTCTAGTTATATTGTTGTCAGTTTTTTTTTTATGTGGTCCCCATCTATCATACGGTTTGATTCCCTCTGTTCTGTGCAGAACCAGTTACTGAATGTAGTTTAATAGTAATTGCAACTACTTTAATGTACATGTATTTTTTTTTTTCTTTACATTTTTATTCATTTTGACTCAAGGAGCGATACTAGAAAGTGAACAATCTTTAGGATTAAAGATGCAATAAATGAAAACGTGATAAATTATCTGCGTCTCTAAAAAATCACGCAGCCGCCTAGCAGACATTTATCAGATATGTCGTTCACAAATACTGCAGAAGTAAAACTGAAATCAAAAAGAGAATATGAATGGCTAAATTGATTCTTCTTCTTTCTTTTGCAATATCTGCTTATGCCGCTTGGCGTCGCTGTTATTCTACCGCACTCGAGCCAGTGAGCGTTCAGTGGTTTGATATGCCGTGTTGTTATGCAGTCTCCAGGAGTCAGTGACTCCTTCAATCCTTCTTCTTTTCGGTTTTGCCCTGCCTCTTGGTGTTTCGATTTTCAGGTTGCACGCTCTTGCTGCTGGCAACCTTGGTGGCTAAATATATATTTAGATAGAACTGAAAATCACTGACATCTAGAAAAATAAACAACACATTTAAAAAACAATTTATAGTTAAAAGTTATGTAACCTCAACTCTTCTATATGGTGCAGAAACGTGGACAATAAACAGGTAACTGGGTAATTGAACTGGGTACACCCGCTGTTTTGGATATACAGAAGAAAAGGTTGTATTTTATCGAAAATAAAATGATCAAATATAGAGGTTCTGCAGAGACTGCAAAAACAAAAACAAAAAGAGAGACTTGCTATCAGAAACATAGAGACAATTGAAATATTTCAGCCACACCCTCCCTCCCCCCCCTTCCCCCTCCCCCCCCCCTTTCCTTACTCCAATTTTTTTTTGGGTTAATAATCACGGTACTGAAGGGGGAATTCAAAATCAGCAGAGCACGATGTAGACGATATAAGTATCGGGACAACATTAGGTGACGGCCAGACAGCAGTCAGAGAGAGAGAGAGAGAAAGAGAGAGAGAGAGAGAGAGAGAGAGAGAGAGAGAGAGAGAGAGAGTGAGTGAGGGGAGAAAGAGATACTACCAAGACAAGACAAGAGAGAGAGAGAGTGTGTGTGTGTGTGTGTATGTGTGTGTGTGTGTGTGTGTACCGCAGATCCATTGTGGCGTCTTCATTATTTATTGAAAGACGAAAGGCATTAAACAGACATTAAAGCTAAACTATATGCGAATGTCGTGGTACAATCGAGGAAGATATTCACACCAGATTCAACAAAAGCAAACTAGTTAATAACCCAGCTAGCTCCTATTTGATAATATAAACCGTTTTCGGTTAGTTCGACGTTAGTCTCCCCAAATAGAGTAGTTCAGTTTTCATTCGCAAGTTTGTTGGGCTAGTCGACTTTCCTGAACGTTACGGGTGTGTCCCGCTCTGTTGTTTGGAGTCTGCTACGTCTTGCATTTACGTGTTCATTCCGAGAAAGAGAATGTTTGTGACATAAGTTGCAGCCCTCTCAGGGATGTGAAAAAGGGGGGGGGGGGGGTTGTTACACGCGGTTTCTTCATGTTTTTGGAGTGCCAAAAGCGCCGGCGTGCTGAAATATACAACACGCAATATCAACGGCATTGCAAAACACCCCAGTAACCGTGTGCCAGGGTCACAGAGCTCAGGAACTACTAATCAGAATTGAGCAAGTGTGTATATGGGTGGTGGCTGTGGAGACTCGCGTCGAACTAGCCCCGTTTTCAATATTATTAAAAAAAATCTCATGCAATACATATTCGCTTTCACCATATATTACCTGTGCCAAACATCGTCACTAGCAAAAATGATGTAAACAAAACAAAACAAAACAAAACCATTAGTAGCTAAGGAAATGAGAAAAAATAAAAGATATAAATCCGGAGTGAAGTTGGCGTAGAACCACAAATAAACTGCATAGAAGGATAACAAATAAAGTGGTCTGCCCACTAAAAGATAGTCTTCTGATACCATGTCATGTAAAGTATGTACCAAAAGAGAAGAGGCACATTGGTCAGGACGTGGAAATGGTCATGATAACAAGGTAGCAGTGATGTAGCAGTGATGTAGTGTGATGTAGCAGTGATGTAGCAGTGATGTAGCAGTGATGTAGTGTGATGTAGCAGTGATGTAGCAGTGATGTAGCAGTGATGTAGTGTGATGTAGCAGTGATGTAGCAGTGATGTAGCAGTGATGTAGTGTGATGTAGCAGTGATGTAGCAGTGATGTAGTGTGATGTAGCAGTGATGTAGCAGTGATGTAGCATTAATATAGCAGTGATGTAGCAGTGACGTAGCAGTGATGTAGTGTGATGTAGCAGTGATGTAGTGTGATGTAGCAGTGATGTAGCAGTGATGTAGTGTGATGTAGCAGTGATGTAGCAGTGATGTAGCATTAATATAGCAGTGATGTAGCAGTGATGTAGCAGTGATGTAGCAGTGATGTAGTGTGATGTAGCAGTGATGTAGCAGTGATGTAGCAGTGATGTAGTGTGATGTAGCAGTGATGTAGCAGTGATGTAGTGTGATGTAGCAGTGATGTAGCAGTGATGTAGTGTGATGTAGCAGTGATGTAGTGTGATGTAGCAGTGATGTAGCAGTGATGTAGCAGTGATGTAGCAGTGATGTAGTGTGATGTAGCAGTGATGTAGCAGTGATGTAGTGTGATGTAGCAGCGAAGTAGCAGTGATGTAGTAATGATGTAGCAGTGATGTAGCAGTGATGTAGCAGTGATGTAGTTTGATGTAGCAGTGATGTAGCAGTGATGTAGCAGTGATGTAGCAGTGATGTAGTGTGATGTAGCAGTGATGTAGCAGTGATGTAGCAGTGATGTAGTGTGATGTAGCAGTGATGTAGCAGTGATGTAGCAGTGATGTAGTGTGATGTAGCAGTGATGTAGCAGTGATGTAGTTGTGATGTAGTGTGATGTAGCAGTGATGTAGCAGTGATGTAGTGTGATGTAGCAGCAAAGTAGCAGTGATGTAGTAATGATGTAGCAGTGATGTAGCAGTGATGTAGTGTGATGTAGCAGTGATGTAGCAGTGATGTAGCAGTGATATAGCAGTGATGTAGCAGTGATGTAGTGTGATGTAGCAGGGATGTAGCAGTGATGTAGTGTGATGTAGCAGTGATGTAGTGTGATGTAGCAGTGATGTAGCAGTGATGTAGCAGTGATGTAGCAGTGATGTAGCAGTGATGTAGCAGTGATGTAGCAGTGATGTAGCAGTGATGTAGCAGTGATGTAGTGTGATGTAGCAGTGATGTAGCAGTGATGTAGCAGTAATATAGCAGTGATGAAGCAGTGATGTAGCAGTGATGTAGCAGTGATGTAGCAGTGATGTAGTGTGATGTAGCAGTGATGTAGCAGTGATGTAGCAGTGATGTAGCAGTGATGTAGCAGTGATGAAGCAGTTATGTAGCAGTGATGTAGCAGTGATGTAGCAGTGATGTAGTGTGATGTATCGAGGTGCCAGGAAGAGCAAACACATAACCTCATATCCTCCTCGACCCTAAAAAGGTATATAGGAAGTGAAGAAGAAGAAACATTAGAAGAGACATACGTAAGGTGACAATACACAAGGAAGAAAAGAATCAAATGCGACAATACAAAATCACCGTTATCACTTCCCAACTGCATGTATGTACAAAAAGAAAAACTCGGTTGGAAAAGAGTGGGCGCGGGGGGGGGGGGGGGGGGGGGTTGTTGTCAGTGGTTTAGAACTCTATGGCCACTGGTCACAGACTGCAGGTTGGGATATTTATTTGTGTCTCTAAAAAGGGAAAAGAAAATTACGTACCAAGGACACAACACGATTTTCTGGCATGAGAGCCCAAAGTGGGAATCTTTCGGGCAGCAGTTTCTCTGAGTTTTTTTTAAATTAATTTGGAAATATTTGCTTGCAAGCTTCTTTTTTTTTTTTTTTAATTCTTCATTTCGTGTTCCGTGTTTTCCACTCTGCTGCTTTATTGTTTTATGCTCGTTTATAAATTATTATTTCCTGTCAAATATATTATTGTTTCTTTCTGTTTCCTTGTCGAGACAGTTTTTCTTAAGTGGCACATATTAAATTGTGTATAATGTCTATCATATTTCTGCTTTTGGTTCTGCGATTGTTTTTCTTTTCAAATTCATTTTCATCTTTGTCATGAACAGCAATATCGTCAACATTACATCGTCTTCATTATCATCAGCATCGTCATCATCATCATCATCATCATCATCATCAACTTATTTGGAGGATTTCTTTCACCTTTTGTTTCTCTTGTTCTTTCTGTTTTCTCGCTTTTGTTATCGCTATTGACAGCAGCGGTCAGAGTAGCTGGTGAAACATCAGAATGGTTTGAAGTGCAGAAAGGAGTGAGACAGGGTTGCATTCTTTAACCCACCCTATTTAACATCTATGCTGAAAATGTTATGAGAAACGCAATTAGCGATGAAGCATGTGAGAGCTTTGATCCACTAAAAAATGGGAGGTAATCCTATCCCAGAACTCAGATATGCAGACGACACAGTTCTCCTTTCCAACAGTATACAAGGTTTAGAAAAATTAATTATGGCCACCAAAAAACAGTGCAGAAGTGAATCTGTTTCTGAATTAAAAAAAAAAAAATTATGTCCTCAGTAAATACAGCACACCAACCAGGTATTGCAATCGAAAATGAAGAAATAGAAAATGTAAAAGATTTCAAATACTTGGGCTCTTCAGTAAACAACAGTGGCGACTGCTCAGAAGTTGTCAGAAGAAGACTTGCATTAGCACTGCAGAGATTAAATAACATGAAGAACATGAAGCACTAGTAAATTGGTTAAAGTAAAAATCTTGAGATCATGCATTTTTCCTGTGGCAACCTACGGTTGTGAGTTTTGGACTCTCACTCAGTCACGGAGGAAAAGGATTGCAGCTTTTGAAATGAAATGCTATTGGAAAATTCTTAGAATACCATGGACCAGGAACAGGAAAAACATTGACACTCTGAACGAGTTGAACATCAAGGAGAACTGGCTTATAAACAGCATCCTGTCCCGGAAGTAAAAGTATTTTGGCAACATCAAGCGTCATGGTGGCTTGGAAAAGACGGTGATGGAAGGTGCAGTTTGTGAAAGGCGAGGCAGGGGTCGACCACTGCGAAGATGGATACAAGTCATTGAAAATGCACTGTCATTGAAAGCACATGGGGCTGGAGAGCTGGCTAGAGAAAGGGATACTTTCAGGCGTGCTGTGAAGGGAGCGACGTCGTCTTGCTCTTCCTATTCGTTCCCTCTTCTTTTTCTCCTACTGATGACAATGTAGTTTACGCACTCAACAGAGATTCATAAAACCGTTTCGTAGGCATGATATCATCTGGAACAAATTTACAGCTAACATTTTCTACCATGTACCTGGGCTCATATGACAAGGGCGATGGGAATCTGGTGTCTGTATGGCGAAGTGATTAAGCCAATTGCTTTGCGCTCTGTACGTCGTGGGCTCGAATCAATACCGCAGGTGCAATAATGACGACTGTGTCGTCTTTAACGTTGATTGTATCTATTATAACTTTGACACGGGTACTATGAAATGTCAGCGTCTGTGGCCTAGGCGTTGCGAACGAGCTTCGTAATGCCGAGGTGCCGGGTTCGATCCCAGCTGCTGGCCTTGCGTTGGTTTCAACAGTGGTATAAAATAAGAAAGAAATGGCAAACTATTGGACGTAATTTTGCCAAGAAAAACCACAACAGCCAAAAAAAAAAAAAAAAATGCTGGTCCTGGTTCTGCAACGTCCTGTAAAGGATACGCAACTTACTAGGAAATATTATGAGCATTAAAGAAAAACTCCGTGATTGTGATCTTATCAGCCATCAAGTGATGATTCGTCTATGAACATATGGGTCAGGCACCATATGTCCTTTAAGAACATGGTTTTTGAGGAGCACTTTGGTTCTCTTGACTTACCATTTCTCTCAGGTTAGGATGCAGAGAGGCGGCTACAACAGACGACATTGAAAGAGAGAGAGAGAGAGAGAGAGAGAGAGAGAGAGAGAGAGAGAGAGGGAGAGAGAGAGAGACAGAGAGAGAGAGAGAGAGAGAGAGAGAGAGAGAAAGGAGAAGAGGGAGGTCTTTCCTAGACACACAATCACACTGAATAAAGGTGACAAAACCTTCCTTCTGTCGTCCTGCACTGTAAAGTTTAAACCATACAACGAGTGAAGACAGGTACATACCGACTGCTTCTGGTTCCCTGTTTGCAGCTCATCTCTAAAGTGACACAGTACACCGATCCCTGGACTTCTCAAAGGGATTACTCAAGAGCCCGAGCATCTCCCAAAACTACGGTAAATAGTGATTTCTTTCTTCTCAACGTGTCATAGCTTCTGTTATTACTGACCTGGATTCGACGAATCACGGGTAAAACGGATCAGTAAAACGAAGTAAAGGACCTACTTCCACGCTTTCATGCGTATTGGGCTAGACCTATTTTTTATAGACCAATCAGCATTTTGTGGGTTATGTTGTCAGCATCACGCCGGTCACCTTTACTTTCCAGGACTATACTCCATACCCACTTAAAGCTAGGTTGATCTAAAAGGCAAATTTATTTTTGAAAAGTCCGGTTCCTCCAGGACCAGAACCCACGACCTTCTGATCCGCAAGCGAGTGTCTAGTCGCTACACCACGATGACCAGTTTTGAACAACGGATCAACATCATGGCACACAGGTAGTAACCCATAGGTGCTCCGTTCTTCTTCTAACTTAAGTCTGAGTCCAAAGAAGCTCAGCACAGTGCACAGGCTCTGTAGCACCGGCGAGGATCCTGAAATACTTTTGGTAGATTTTAAACTCTAAATTTAGCTCGGGCATTGCCGTTAGGCTACTCTTTTCGATTTCCAACTGCCTAGGGAATTTTTACTTGCGCAACAGTACACACGGGCGTCCGATCTCACTTCCCAGAGACCAGGGGGAATTACTAGAAGTCCAAGTCCACGCGTGAAAACCCGGAATCTCTAGCATTCGACGCAGACACAATACCTCGAGACCCCGCAGCCCCCTGTAAAACAGATACGTCCAAAAGGCAACAGTCATTTGTATACCAGAGGTATGCATGGCGTAAACCAGCAGTAATTTCAATATGCATCGAAACCCCCGTTTACTCGTCGTCATCAGCGTGTAGCAGGTCATCTACACGGTCGCTGCCTTCAAGCTCGTCTGACAGAAACTTGGCCCCTCGCCAGCTCTCGTGCACTTTCCTCCATGAGGTATCTATCTCAACTGTTCTGTGTCAGTTGTCGAGGTGGTCGTTCCCATTACACTGTCGCATGCCCTTGGCTACTATTATTTCCAATCCACAATGGCGTTCGATATGACCAAAGTGTTTCAGTTGCCGAGCAAAGGAGCTGATATATATATCTATGCAGTGTTAGTCAGCTCTGTGGCTAAGTCGATCCAAACGCTTCGTAATGCCGGAATGCCGGGTTCGATCCCAGCTGAGGGTCATTCGCCTTGCGTTGGTTTCGACAGTAGTATCAAGAAAGCCGACCGTCCAGGAAGCAATGGCAAACTACTGGACATAAATTTGCCTAGAAAAACCACACAACAGCCAGGGGCTGTTGGGGTTGGTTCTGCGACGTCCTGTAGAGGATACGCAACTAACCTATTATGCAGTGTTACTATTCTTTGCAAGACGTGAGGATCCCTATAACACACAGTCGAATTCTACCGTATAACAATACTGTGTGAAACGACGGGAAGGTTCCATGACAGCATTTCTTTCTGTCTTACCGTTCTTCTTCTTCTTCTTCTTCTTCTTCTTCTTCTTCTTCTTTCGTTCGCCTGTAAAAAAGTTGTCTATATCAGCAGTTTTGTCTCTTGTATATATTTGACTGTCGGTGTTAGTTCATTCAGTGGTCCATAGAGTTTACGTTCCACTGTTGTTCTTTCTGGCTAAAAGGTTTGCCTTAATGTGTCAAATTCGGTGCAGTCCTGGAGTTCTTGCTCTGATGTCTGGGGCACCTTTCCACATGTGCACATGTCTAACTGTAAAACCCTTAGTGTAATGCTTGAGTCCCTTATCACAAGTGAGCTGTTAAAGTGATATCGAACGGGAAATGAAGGAATGTAAACTGACATGGGATACCATGGGCAGAAAAGTAGCGGAACTGCAGCAATGGGGATCACTTGTGAATGCTTTATGTGTCAACAGCGATATGAAGAGGATATAGTGAGAATAGATCAAACAAATTTACACCTACAATCATCGAACGCATTTATTTTTATTATCATCATACCCATTTGTAAATACAATAGTCTCCAATATTTCTGCCAACAACAGACGCACACATTTATATCTACACTCATCACTAATATTTATTTATATAACCATCACAAACATTTGTATCTGCAATTATCATAGATATTTATATCAGCAATCATCATAAACATGTATTCTACAACCATCATACACATCTATATATACAGTCATCATACACATGACTATCCACAATCATCATACACATGCATATCTACAATCATCATTCACATGTATATCTACAATCATCATACACATGTATATCTACAATCATCGTACACATTTACATCTGCAATGACCATACATATTTATCTCTACGGTCATCACACACATTTTTATCAACGATCATCCAACAAATTTATAATATTTATAACCAAACTCATATGAATCTTTAGTGATCCAAAAAATAAATATCTACAATCCTCTGACACATTTATACATGCAGTCATCACTCACATTTGTATCTACCTTCTTAATTTATATTTATTACTCTTATTTCGAACACATTTATATCTACAATCATTATGTACATTTGTATCTAGCATTTTCACATATATTTTTTCACGATCTTTTCATACATATGTATGTCTACAATCTTAATACAAATGTATATCTACAATCACCATTTTTGGGACTCCAATCCACTCTGGCACTCTGACGACCTGGGACCAGGATGGGGCAGCGAGTCGGTCCCGGTTGAACGACCTCCTGATACAGCTGATTGCCCCAGCAGTCAATGAGTCCGAGGCCAGGAGCATTGTGGGAGAATTCGTTCGGCTGGAGGCGCATATCCACAGGGTAAGCGTTGCTGTCTGTGTGTCTGCCAGGGTGAGAGAGCGAGAAACAGAGACAGACAGGAGTCAGATAAACAGCCAGATAAAGAGAGCGAGAAAGAGAGCGAGGGACACTAAGAGACAGAGAGTGATAAAGTTCCATACAGATATACAAAGATACAAAAAGACCTGCAGACAGACAGACAGACAGACAGACAGACAGACAGACAGACAGACAGACAGACAGACAGACAGACAGACAGACAGACAGACGGACGGATAGATGGACGGACGGATAGATGGACAAACGGACAGATGGACAGACGGACAGACGGACGGCACACACACACAGAGAGAGACATACGGACGGCACACACACACACACCCAGACAGACGGACAGACAGACATACGCACAGACAGACAGACAGACAGACAGACAGACAGACAGACAGACAGACAGACAGACAGACAGACAGACAGACAGACAGACAGACAGACAGACAGACAGACAGACAGACAGACAGACAGACAGACAGACAGACATAGGGATGGCACACACACATACGGAGAGACAGACAGAGAGACGGACGGCACACACACACACACATACAGACGGACGGCACACACAAAAACACAGACGGACGGACGGCACACACACACAGACGGGCGGACGGCACCCACACACACACAGACAGACGGACGGCACACACACACACAGACAGACAGACAGACGGCACACACACACAAACACACGGACAGACAGACAAACGGCACACACACGCACAAACAAACAGACGGACACAAATGATAGTCAAACAGACACAAATGATAGTCAAACAGACACAAATGATAGTCAGACACAAATGATAGTCAAACAGACACAAATGACAGTCAAACTGACACACAGCCAGACAAAACGAAGCACATGGAAAGCCAGATATACTAATCTTTTACATTTTCAGATTTTGAACACCGGCCGTGAACAGGCAAACGAAGAAAAAGCAGACAATGAACAGTCCATTGTCTGTGATACACCAAGCAACAAGAAAACTATGGTAGACCTGCAGGTCAAATTTAACGGTTTCGGCATTGACTGGATTACTTTCTTCCAAAACGTTGTAGAGACCTCAGACGTCTCAGACATCAAGTTCTGTAAAGTCAAACTCAGCCTGGAGCTTCAGCATCTTCTGAAGATCACACCAAAGACCTCTCTACGACAGTTCATCATTCTCCACACGCTGCTCCACACAGATTTGTTTCTCCTCTTTTCCAACAACTATCAGCCGGTGGTGCAATCCCGTCCTAGAACGAAAAAATCTGAGACTGAAGAGGAACAATGTTTGGATCTTCTTCTTCATTTCATGCCTTCTTTGGAAAAGTTCTCAGGATGTGATGACAACGTTCTGGTTCAGAACAGAGCTAATGCTTTTGCAGCTTTAAGGAATATCCGGTCGACTTTGTATAAAATTTTGACTACATCGTTCAAAGTTCCCAAAGAAAATGCAGCTTTGGTTACCAATTCCAGTATGAAACCTGTGCTAGATTCAGTAAATGAAGTCTTGGTGTCCAGGTGCCAGTCTAGCAAGGGGCCACAAGGTCCTTTTGATGAGTACAACTTCCAGACCAATATGCTCAAGTTGATACAGCACCACCATGGACTGTACTTCCGAGGCCGGTTATGGCGCACGTCCAAAGATTTGGAGTTGTCAGCCTTGTGGATATCATCAAGTGTCCACGGTAAGTCGGTTTTTTGTGTGTGGGTTTAATCCCTTATCCAGAGTGGATTATTTTGCGTGGATATTGTCCATTGTCCATGCTAACTATTCTACCTCAAGGTACTTATATCCTGTGCCGATTTTCGTGTTGATCGGCCCCTGCTAATCATTCCTGATACTATGCCATCTGCTATTTTCTATTTTTTGCAACTATCTTCTTCTTCTTCTTCTTCTTTTTGTTCTTCTTTTTCTTTTTCTTTTTCTTCTTCTTCTTCTTCTTCTTCTTCTTCTTTTTCACGTTTTCACCTCTTCTACTACTACTACTACTTCTTCTTCTTCTTCTTCTTCTTCTTCTTCTTCTTCTTCTTCTTCTTCTTCTTCTTCTTCTTCTTCTTCTTCTTCTTCTTCTTCTTCTTCTTCTTCTTCTTCTTCTTCTTTTTTTTTTCTTCTTCTGATTATTATTATTGGGGTGGGGGCATTGGTTCCTAACAAGCTAGTAAATAAAAGTGAATAATTAAGAAGTTTTTCCAGATAACAAATAAAAAAAAAAAAAAAATAAAAACACTACTTGAGAATTTTACATCCGGAATTAATTTGTGTTGAATCTACATTGGCTGCCACTCCAGTCTAGATGCCAGTACTCAACGAATTTCCTAAAGTTAAAGTTAGATAGATAAAGCTGTAGTGGATTGTTGTTACTGACAGTTAATATTGTCATTTTAAAGTAGTTTATATTTTCAAAATAGAAATAGAATTCGTACATTTTATGCCACACACAAAAATTACAAATCGAAGGTTATTTTTTTTTTTTTAATGTAAGGGCTAGTGTCTCGAGGAGAAAATTTACCGCAAGGCCCTAAAGCTGATGATGATGGTGATGATAATGACGTCAAATATAGGACAAATCTAGAATTTAAGACAATACAAAAACCTTCTGCCGGACATTAGGACGGTAATCTGTTGTCCTGAAAAAAAAGGATAGCAATGCATCTTCTAAAAATCGAAGCAGAATTCTTCTCTCTCGGGAAAAAAGGGGCGATAATAAAGGGTCTTTAAATAAAGAGCAATTGGGCAGCTTTGACTGGGGAACTGGTCAGCTGAACGCGATCCAGATTTGATTGGTTGTGGCTAAGAAAGATTCAGGAAATTTTGGAATGACATTGGATACAGCAAGTTAAAGGGGGCGGGAAAAAAAAAGGGGGGGGGGGGGGTCAAACGAGAATTTCACTTTTGTATTTCTTCTTTTTCTTATAAAAATGTTAGCTGCGTGTAAAGTGACCATTATGCCATTGTTCTTAAAATACAGTTATATGTAGTTTCGTCCTTTTTTGGGATGAAATTGTTTGTTATTTGAAGCCCAATCCTGGCTTTTGCCAGGGGCCGCAATATAGGCAGTCCATAAATATGGCCAATTGTCTGAACGCGGTTTCTGGGACCTCTCCACGGTGATCCTCATCCGCATGGTGGCACTTTGTGTCATCGAGTGTTTATCGCTTGTGTTATGTCCCGGTGGGGTAGAAAGTCAGTCAGTCAGTCAAAATACAGTAACATCCCGAGCAGGTTAGTTTTTGTCTGCAGCTACTTAGAGGTGTGACCTAACATGCAGTTTTTTGAGTATGTCTGCAATATTTAGGAGTGCTTTGATGTATCGCGTCCATACTACTTTGGTATTTCTTGTCCTTCACTCTCCTGCTTACTTTTTCCCACACAGACGCCCTTATATTCGCAGCATTTAGCAGGCAGCAGTCACACACACGTACATATACACAAACTCACACACAGACACACTCGCAGCATTCAGCAGTGAACAGTCTCTCTCTGTCTCTTACTCACACACAAAGACACACACACACACACACAGATTCAGCCTACAGTAGTAAGCATCAGACACACACACAAACACACACACACACACACACACACGAACACACACACACTGAAAAAGCCACTAACATCTAGTGCTCACCTGTGAGCAGTTATACACACATACACAGATACACACATATACACATTCCCAAACTTGCACCCTTCAACAGTGAACAGCCCCACACACACACACATACGCATTCCCACACTTGCACCCTTCAACAGTGAACAGCCCCACACACAAACACATACGCACACACACTTGCAGCACTCAACAGTTAACAGTCGTATACACACATACTCTCGCACATACACTTACACAGACGCAGAGTCCAGCACTGACCAGTCTGACACACACACACACACACATACACACACACAAACACAGCCACAAACATCCAGTGCTCCATAGTGAGCAGCGACACGCACGCGCATACACACACACACACACATTTCCAGTGCTCACTCTCCTGCTTACTTTTTCCCACACAGACGCCCTTATATTCGCAGCATTTAGCAGGCAGCAGTCACACACACGTACATATACACAAACTCACACACAGACACACTCGCAGCATTCAGCAGTGAACAGTCTCTCTCTGTCTCTTACTCACACACAAAGACACACACACACACACACAGATTCAGCCTACAGTAGTAAGCATCAGACACACACACAAACACACACACACACACACACACGAACACACACACACTGAAAAAGCCACTAACATCTAGTGCTCACCTGTGAGCAGTTATACACACATACACAGATACACACATATACACATTCCCAAACTTGCACCCTTCAACAGTGAACAGCCCCACACACACACACATACGCATTCCCACACTTGCACCCTTCAACAGTGAACAGCCCCACACACAAACACATACGCACACACACTTGCAGCACTCAACAGTTAACAGTCGTATACACACATACTCTCGCACATACACTTACACAGACGCAGAGTCCAGCACTGACCAGTCTGACACACACACACACACACATACACACACACAAACACAGCCACAAACATCCAGTGCTCCATAGTGAGCAGCGACACGCACGCGCATACACACACACACACACACATTTCCAGTGCTCACGAGTGAACAGACACACACAGACACACCTAAACATTTACTGTGCTCAGCAGTGAACAGACACCCTCACACACACACACTCACACATTTCCTGTGCTCAACAGTGAACAGAACACACACACACACACTCACACATTTCCTGTGCTCAACAGTGAACAGAACACACACACACACACACACACACACTCACACATTTCCTGTGCTCAACAGAGAACAGAACACACACACAGGCATACTCACACATTTCCTGTGCTCAACAGTGAACATACACACACACACACACACAGACACACTCACACATTTACTGTTTCAGCAGTGAACAGACACACTCACACACACACAGACACACTCACACATTTCCTGTGCTCAGCAGTGAACAGACACACACACACACATTTCCTGTGCTCAGCAGTGAACAGACACACACACACACACAGACACACTCACACATTTACTGTTTCAGCAGTGAACAGACACACTCACACACACAGACACACTCACACATTTCCTGTGCTCAGCAGTGAACAGACACACACACACACATTTCCTGTGCTCAGCAGTGAACAGACACACACACACACATTTCCTGTGCTCAGCAGTGAACAGACACACACAGACACACAGACACACTCACACATTTCCTGTGCTCAGCGGTGAAGAGACACACACAGACACACAGACACACTCACACACAGACACACTCACACATTTCCTGTGCTCAGCGGTGAACAGACACACACACAGACACACAGACACACAGACACACTCACACACAGACACACACACACATTTCCTGTGCTCAGCGGTGAACAGACACACACACAGACACACACACATTTCCTGTGCTCAGCGGTGAGCAGACACACACACACACAGACACACACACACATTTCCTGTGCTCAGCAGTGAACAGACACACACACACACAGACACACACACACATTTCCTGTGCTCAGCGGTGAACAGACACACACACACACAGACACACACTCACACAATTCCTGTGCTCAGCGGTGAACAGACACACACACACACACACACACTCACACATTTCCTGTGCTCAGCGGTGAACAGACACACACACACACAGACACACACACACATTTCCTGTGCTCAGCGGTGAACAGACACACACACACACACACACACACTCACACAATTCCTGTGCTCAGCGGTGAACAGACACACACACACACAGACACACTCACACATTTCCTGTGCTCAGCGGTGAACAGACACACACACACATTTCCTGTGCTCAGCGGTGAACAGACACACACACACACACATTTCCTGTGCTCAGCGGTGAACAGACACACACACACATTTCCTGTGCTCAGCGGTGAACAGACACACACACACACACACACACACACACACACACACATTTCCTGTGCTCAGCGGTGAACAGACACACTCACACATTTCCTGTACTCAGCAGTGACCAGACACACACAGACACACAAACTCCGGCAGACACGCATATCCACACTCCCACACAAATCAAGAGGGATCAGGGATCAAGAACGAGCAGTCTCACACACACACACACACACTTCCCTGTATATACTCACTCACGCACACACGCTCCCACACACATGCTCCGCACAGCAGTGAGCAGTCAGGCGTTTGACGTGAACGGATCTGTGTCCGGATACTCCAGCCACTGAACGAATCTAGAGAAGCTTGATCACGCACTCACCCACTGCGACAGGCTACCATATCCTGGATGTATTGTCTCCATCTATCACAGCCACTTGCCACATTAACTCATGTTATCTCACTATGTCCACAATAAGTTACTACATTAACTCATGTTATCTCACTATGTCCACAATAAGTTGCTACATTAACTCATGTTATCTCACTATGTCCACAATAAGTTGCTACATTAACTCATGTTATCTCACTATGTCCACAATAAGTTGCTACATTATCAACTAACATTATCTCACTTTTTCATAGGAAGTTGCTACATAAACTAACATTATCTCACTTTTTTATAGGAAGTTGCTACATAAACTAACATTATCTCACTTTTTCATA